TGTTGCCTGATGGTGAAGATTGCGAGAGACGCCTATGCCTGAATGTCAACGCAACCCAGTCCACCCAACCCAGTCCACCCAACTACAAGATAAAAGTATCACACTCACGGCTGACTGAGGCGTTCACTCATGGCAACACGAGAGTCGTTGTCGACTGGTGACACAGGAGTCAGACAGCCCGGTCAATCCTGTCGAATGGAGTGAAAAGGGGTGTGGATGGTCTTCAACGAGGGAAAGTATGTTCCCAAGGCGACGGGTCGCGCACACCCTGAAGATGTCGACGCGGCCGGATCCCGTCCATGCAGCCACCAGATAGACGACAGCCTAACTCCGCGGTAGTCCTATATTACGACTTCCCAGCGTTCTCCGGGACTCACCGAGGCATTAAAGTCGGATGGCATTGCGTCGAAGTGGGTTGTTGTGCGAGGGCGAGGCACCGAAAGGGTGTAGACGCGGAGGCGTCGATCCAGAAGAGGGTGGGGGGGCGTCCGAGAAGTGCTTTATATGACACCTCGATCGATAAATGGGACTACTGCTCTTGCATACGCTGTGCCAGAGACCAGGAACTGAGTCAGGCATGCGCGCATCGGGCCAGATTCACACCCCTTTCTTCTGGGAGACCTATATTCTATCCGACCCCAGCACCCGCAGCACGGGGTGGTTGCGGAGCCCAGATCCGCGTGGTATGGGAAACGCCAGGCCGACGATCTATGGCCATTGCATGCGATGCCCAGTAGATATCATTCGTAACAAACTCAGGGCGGCGCGGTGCACCAAGATCACGGCCCATGACTTAAGGACGCGCAATGCCGAGACGGACCTCCTGGTCGTGGCCTGTAGCCATCGTTCTGTGCCTGCTGGGCTACCAAGCCACTTGCTTCTTCCTCCAGTCCACCACATCAGAAACTGCCCCACTGTCCGACCCTCACCGTGCTCGAACAGACCTGCGGCGCCGAGGGGTGTCGGGTTTCCGGTCACTGTTGTACGCCGAGGAGCAGGTGCCGGGGGAGGGGGAGAGAGCGCCCTTCCTCTGGCAACCTTGACCGTACAGCTCACGTCGTAACGATTAAATCTCGTGATCCTATTCCCGCAGGGATCGGCTGGACCGGGGCCCGCCTCTGGGGGAGTGAGCCCTGGCAATGAGCCACGTGTGGGGGCTGGGGCAAAATCTGCAACCAGCCCCTTGCCCCACATCTCACCCAGCAACAGCCTGGCTGCTAAGGCCGCAAATCCCGTGCCAATCATAGCGGGGTTGGTGCAAGCAGCTGCTACGAGGGCCGCGCCGGGCGGAGGACAGCCGAGCGCAAGTTCCCCGCCCAGCCCAGCCCGGGCAGCCCCTCAAGCCGCTGGTGGGTGTAAGCATGCGTTTTTGAGATGAGGAGGGCGTTGACATCGCTCGCTGCCGCATCCTGCCTATATAGCGCTGACCACTCTTGCGTTTAACTCTGCTAGGTTGCCCCACTTGGGCACCGCAGTCCACCGCCTCCAAAATCCACACCCCCCTTGGGCATGAGGAGTGCTGAGACACCAAGCTCGCTCCTTGGACCACCAGCCCAAGCCACTTCCTCCTCCCGTCACACACTCCCACAGACGGCCCCGCCTACGCCACAATCTGTGCCGCAATGAAGGACCAGCACACAGATGTGCGGGGTTGGGTGGCCTACCACCGCGCCATCGGCGTGGGCAAGTTCTACCTGGTGGACACGGGGTCCGGCGAGAGCATGCAGAGTGTGCTCCAGGACCACATCGACTCGGGGTTAGTGGACTTCGAGTATGACTCGGGCATCCTGCCCACCAGGGGCACCCATGGCCCTCAGCTCGGCGTTTACCAGCAGTGCATCGCCAAGGCCAGCAAGAGGTGAGTGGTGGGATGTGTGGTTCAGAGCTTGGGGGGAGGGGAGAAGGAATAAATAGGGAGAATTCGGGGAGGGAGTGAATGGAAGACATGCAGGATCACATACCACACCTCGCACCCGCACATGACTCCCCCAACACGTGCCCTCCTGCACAGGAATGAGAGGTGGATGGCGCTGATCGACCTGGACGAATTCCTGGTGATCAGGGACGCCACGCCTGACCTCCCCACCCTCCTCCACGACTACGAGTCGGCTGGGGCGCTGGTGGTCAACTGGGTGGTGTTTGGCAGCTCCGGGCAGACGGTGAGGAGGGTGTGGGGCCTGGCATCAATGATAGGGGGAAATGGATTGCTTGCTTTTTGGTGATTGAAGTCTCATCTGCCCTGAGCATTGCCTTCCGAGGGGCTGATCGGGCACGATGAAGTCCGCCGCCTGCCAGCAGGGGACGGCAAACGGCAAGAGTGTTCCTGCACACACAAGTGCACCCTGCTTCCAGCCCCTAGCCTTTGTCCTCTCACCTCTGCCTCACTGTTTCCCCCATACTTTCCTTTCCCACCCCCACCTCCTTCGCCAGGTGCGCTCCCCGCTGGAGCCCCTGGCCTCCTTCTGGATGTGCGCCCCGGACCAGCACAGCGAGAATCTGCACGTCAAGTCCATTGTGCAGCCGGCGCGCGTGGCGGGGGTGACCACCGATCCCCACCACCTCAAGTACGTGGAGCCGTACTTTGCCGTCAACACGACGCACGACCGCGTGGACGGCCCGAAGTCGGAGCGCCAGGCCTCGGACAGGCTGGCGCTGTACCACTACGCGCTGAAGAGCGAGGAGGAGTATCAGGCCAAGATGAAGAGAGGGTCGGGTGAGCTGGTGGATTTGAAAGTGTACTTCCTTCTTGTGTGTGTTGTGGGGAGACATGTGGGTTTGTAGTACAACAGGCTCTGCACTGGCACAGCAGCACCCAGGCAAGCACCCCTGCGTGCTGCCCTGCATTGCCCTACCCCCAAAAACCTCTGACCAGCACCTGCACACATCCCAGGCATGGGCAACCAGAAGACCATGGCCTTCTTCCACTACGTCAACAACTACACCGCGGCAGTGTGCCTTGACGGCATTGACAAGGGGAGGTACCTGGCCAGCTTTGTCAGCTGATTTGATGTGTGGCTGTGTGCGAACATCGCAATCAAGGGAGCTGGGGTGTGGGTCCCTCAACACTCCCACCTCTCCGCGCCTTGTCAATAGGCAGAGGACGTGCATGCCGCCTGTAACCCGTTGCATGAACCAGAAGAATGAGCAATCTTCATCACCGCGCGGCGTAGAGCACTGGGCATGAGGGCTGGGCCTGGATTGCTCGTGTATACTTGAGGAGCAGCCCCTCCAGGGATTGGCCCGGGTCCGCCAGGCCCTGGAGGTAGGGCTCCAACTCCTCCAGTCGCCACCTGTGTTTGAGACGGTGGTGTGGCGGGGTGGGGTTGCGCGGGCGTGAGGGAGGGTGCCCAGAAGGCCATGGTTGATGGCCATGCACTGCACCCAGCCTGCAGGAGCCTGCATCACATCTCCCAGGCCAGCTGGGTCACCATCGGACAAAGGCCGCACCTGGGCCTCATGGCAAATAGGGCGCCAAAGCGGCCTGCTGGGTCGGCGGGGAGAGAGTCCAGGGGCAGGTACTGGAGGGTGGCAGAGGCCTCGTCGATCACGGCAATGCCACCCAGGCAGGAGAGGTCGGCGGGGACGCTCTGTGTGTTTGGAGGAAGGGGGTGGGGGGCGGGCGAGGAAATTGTGGCAACACTTTCTGACAAGGATCAAGGCTGTGTCCATGCAAAGGGAGGTGGGCCTGCTCCCTTGAGTGGTAGCGCCTCACCCACCCACCCCCCTGTGATTTCACGCAGTCTCCCTGTCGGCGGCCTTCCATGCCCACGTCCACAAAGCCCCCTCCCAACGCACCTCTGGCAGCGCGTGCCGCAGCGACGCCTCAAAGTCCCCACAACTCCAGGTCGGCCGCTCGCTGAGCTGGCGCCGCGCCTCCTGCCGGCACGCCTCCTTTGGATCCAGCGCCCAGTCCTCCCCCGCCACCCCCGCCCGCCCAAAGCGTTCGAGGCAGTGGCCTGCCACGCGGGGGTCCATGCCGCTCTGCTCCAGCGCAGCGTGCATGTCGGCGCGGGGCAAAGTCGCGCCCAGGTCCCAGCCCCGCTCCCCGGCGCAGAGGAAGATGAGCTGCAGCGCGGTGTCTGCGTAGGAGGGGTGCAGCGCGCACCACCTGCCGTCCAGCTCCAGGGCGCCCCGCTGCGCCAGCGCGGCGGCCAGCTCCCCCTCGCTCATCTGCACGTGCGACAGCAGGTCGGCCAGCGTGCACCGCCCCTGCGCCGGGGTCGAACGCAGGTCGCCCTCCTCCTCAGGGCCCATGTACGGGGCTGCCTGTCCGGCACGACGGTGTAGGGAAGGGCGGAGATGAAAGACTCGATACAGGGATTCCCCCAACCCCGTGTGTTGCCAAAATCATCCAGCCTGGCAGCAGGGCTGATGGAGGATCCGCAGCTCGTTTGCAGCATTCACACTGGTCCCACGGCCAGTGTCCCACATCAGACACAATCCAGGCCTCCCACCACGGCCTGCTAACCTGGAGCAGCGCATTCAGCTGGTGGGTGCGAGGGGCGATGGGGACCAGCTCCATGTGGGTCTCCACTGTGGCTGTTACCTTGATTGGTGGCCGGGCGGAAGCTGCGGAGTCCTGCATGGCCCGCGGCGCCGGGCGGGGGGGGGTCGGGTGCCGGAGCATAGCCAGGTGAGGGATGAGACTCTCGCAAAGGTGACCATGCAGCGGGTTTGTATGCAGTAACGTTGGTCCTGCTTGGTAGGGCATCAGGGCAGTTCTTTGGGTGCGTGCGAGTCGTGAGCTGTGCAGACACTGGACACCCAAACCACGACAGGTGTGATGCATCAGATGGGTCACAACCATGCCCCGGCCATGTGTACCTTTTCCCTCTGCGTGGCCAGGCCCAGCGTCTGGCCGGGTGGGGTCGGGGGACAGGAAGTCTGGTTCTGTGTGAGCTCCCCAAGAGGCACCTGTGGCAAATGGTTGACTTCAATCGATACCAAACCATGTGCCTGGTGAGCTTGCACTGCAAACCTGGCACAAACACCAGCCCGCAGCCCACAATCTGTTGGGATCCTGCTGCACATGCAGCACCCCCAGCACACCATCTGCCATCAGCTGGGCGCCACAGCCATCAAGGAGCACAGACCTGCTCATCGCGAGCCAGATAGATGGTGTTTGTCGTCCCAACAGTCTTCAGCACGAAGGTGGTGTCACGCGTGCACAGTACCGCATCACCATCTTGTTCGCCCTTTATCTGCAGGCTGCTTGGCGGGAGCGAGGTACACTCGGTGAGGAGGAGGACCAGTGGGGCATCCCAGACACCATCGTTCAAGGGGCATCCTCAACTGAGATCTGAGCGCCGGAGCTACCATGCAGCCCTCACCCATCGGTTAGAAGCTCGTCTAGAATAGGATCGTCCAGTTCAAGGAGAAGAAGGTCCTTGCGCACCGCCTCTCCATGCTGCAAAGTTCGCGGGCGGGTGGGGTGGAGACCCAGCGCCCCCATCATGAGGGAAATCCACTGTGACTCACAAGGCCGTCGCAATTCCAGGGGATTGAGTTTATATCGTGTGTCGCCGGGGTCGGTAAAGCAGGAGCATCCTGAAGTGGGCAATGATCGCTCATGTCGTCTGCTCGCATCATGGCGTTTGTATTCAAGCGCTGCTTCGGCTGCTGTGCAGCGTCTTGCGCCATCACTGCCCCATGTGCGGTGAGGTCCGTTCAGGCTCTGGCAGAACCCTTTGGTCCAAGACCTACCGCCTTACAGTGGGGTACATGGTATCCATGTCTTCCAGATTGAGTGTCCTGAAATGATGGGCTAAAGTCAGTGCTAGCAAGCAGAGATTAAGGAGAAGGGGAGTGCAGGAGGGTAAGACTGACGTCGTCATGAACTCCACATGATTGCGTGGAAGCGCTGAGATTGTGAGGGACGACCATGAGGAGGCAGGAAGCACAAGGGGTGCGGACCCAGCCCGAGAAATGTAGCAGATGACTGAGAGTGGGCGGTGCGCGGATCCGACCCCGCCCGATGCACGAGCGTGCGAGTCGTCTGGTTGAGCACCTCCAAGAATTGAGTGGCCTTCATGCCGTGGCGGCCGACTGCTTGGAGGCATGGTCGGGCCACCACTGCCGCTCCTCCACGTACGCCCGCCAGTCGGCAGGTGCCTCCTTCAGCTGCGACACGCCCGAGTCCCAGGCGGCCTTGGCCACGGCGGCGGCCACGTCCAGAGACACCTGGCGCAGGTTGCTGATCTGCGGGTACAGGCGCTTGTCGCCCCGCAGCTCCGCCTCAGACACCGCGTCGGCCAGGCCCGCCGCTGCCGCCACAAACATCTCGTCGTTCACCGAGGAGGCCTTGGCCATGATGGCGCCGAACCCAATGCCTGATTTGGGTGGAGAGGGAGGGGTTGGGTGGGGGATGGGAGCGCCATGGCTTGACAAAGCGTGCACACAGGCTGGCAAGTGAAACGCGGCGGCAGCGATGGCAAAAAGGTCTGGGAGTTGTCCCCATTCTGCACAGTAGCTCCCACCTGGGAATACAAAGACATTGTTGGCCTGGCCGGGGACAAAGGTCTGCCCATCGTACTTTACCGGCTTGAATGGGGAGCCTGTGGCAAGGGTGAGGAGGGGGGGTCGGTGTGCATGTGGGGTTTAGGAGCGGTGGCGCAAGGCATGGGCTGGTCGTGCCATGCCTGGCTGGTACCTCCAGCCGCCTGCCCTGAAACTGAAACACAAACGCGCCATCTGTTTTCTTCAAATGGTTTGCCGACCCCAAGCCCGGCTGACCCCGTCCCACGGAACCACCCCTCGCCGGCCCACACCTCCACACTCTGGACCCCCATGACCAGCGAGCGCACGAGCAGCAGGAAGGTCCCTACCCTCGGGGACCTCAACATACCCACCCACCCTCCCCTCGGGCCCCTCACCTCCGGCGAAGATGCACCTGCCTTTGCTCCAGGAGTAGGCGTTCTCCGCGCTGATCTCGGCCTTGGGCGTGGGGTTGGAGAGGGGGAACACCAGGGGCGACTCCGTGCCCTGGCACAGCGCCTGCACGATGGGCTCGGTCCAGACTGGCCCCGCGGCGGAAAGGCCAATGAGCGCATGCGGCTTGACATACTCCACGATCTCCCGGAGGTCCTTCATGTCGGGCACGCCATCGCGCCGCGCCATCTCCTGCTTGTGCTCCGGCAGCTCGTCGCCGCGAGTGTCGGTGATGAGCCCCTTGGAGTCCACCATGTAGATGCAGGCCCGCGCCTCCTCCTCGCTGATGCCCTCCGTCTGTAAATGTTTGGGAGGTGGGGGTTTGGGGGGGGGGTACTGTGTCGAGGAAAGGTGGGGTGAGTATGACGCAAGGGGTGTAGGGCAGGAGAGGGGGAGTTCAAGGTGGCAGGGCGATGGAAAGCTGCAGTGACTTGCAGGATGAGTTGAATGGCGGAGGTTCGTCCCTGTCAAAGCCCACCCCCTTCAGCTCACCCTGCCCAGATTCCGCCCCCCTCCTCCTCCCCCCCCTCCTTCCCCCACCCCACCCACCCGCATACCTTGTGCATGTAGGTGACGATGCTCTTGGCCACGCCCACGGCGGAGGAGCCGGCGCCGTAGAAGACGACGCGCGCGTCGCGCAGGCGCGTGCCCTGGTACTTCATGCCGTTGATGAACCCCGAGGTGACCACCGCCCCCGTGCCCTGGATGTCGTCGTTGAAGCAGAGCATGGCGCTGCGCTGCGCCTCCAGGATCTTGAAGGCCTTGCTCGTCTCAAAGTCCTCGAACTGGAGCAGCGCGTGCGGCCAGCGCCGCTTGACCGCGGCGCAGAACTCGTCGATGGCAGCGTAGTACTCCTCGCCCTCCAGGCGCTCGCGGCGTTCGCCCAGGTACAGCCCGTCCTCGCGCAGTTCTTTCCGATTGCAGCCCATGTCCAGAACGATGGGCAAAGAGTGCTCCGGGTGGAAGCCCACCGCCGCAACGTACAGCGCGATCTGCGGCGGGGAGTCGAGGGGAGGTGATCGAGGGGGGGAAGAGCTGGCCCCACCCCAGGCACGCACTATGAAGACAAGATCGTCAGTCTGCAGGAAGAGCAGGACCAGTGCGCGCAGCCATATCCTGGCACACCTTGCCGATGCTGATGCCGATGCCGTTGGTCCCCAGGTCCCCCAGGCCCAGGATGCGGGAGCCGTCTGTCACGACGATGATCTGGACATTCTTGTTCGGCCAGTTGCCCAGCACCTGTGCAGGAAAGAAAGGAGATGTGATGAGGTGCTGTGGGACACAGGCAATGGACACACAGGATGCGGGAGGTAGGAGGCTTATCACCCCAGAGGCCTCTGCTTACAGCACACCCTACCACCGCCGCCTGGTGCTTGCTTGCCTCACGCCAACTCACGACAAGAAAGCACCCAGCCCTTGATTCCCCACCCCCACCCCTGGCCCCCACAGAAACGTTCCCCAGCCCACCTCGTCAAAGCGACCGCGGTGGCGGAAGGCCGAGATGTACATGCCCAGGGGCTCGCGGAAGAGGGTGCTCCATCGCTGGCAGGCCTCGCCGATGGTGGGGGTGTACACAATGGGGGCCAGCTCCTCGATGTTCTCGATCAGAGCTTTGTAGAAGAGGGTGGTGTGGGTCGCCATGATCTGCTTCAGGATGTTGTTGCGCTGCAGGTTGGTCAGGTCCTCGTTCCGCAGCTGGGTCATCAACCTGCTCACCATTTGGTGACGGGGCTGGGGAGGGGTGAAGGCATGTCCTTGGGTGGGAACATCCAGAGTGCCATCCATGCAGCAAGGGGAGAGCTGGAGGTCATATAAGATAGCGGAAATGGTTGCCATGATCTGGCATGAACATTGCAGAAAGAATATCAAACATAAATGTGATCTCCAGTATGAGCTTTGTGGGCAATGAAGGGACAAAAGCACGATCCACCCTAGCATTGATCCCAGTATGCTAGGCTACTTGCCCATCCTATACAATTGATATACTAAACTCAAGCACTGGACAATCGAAATGTTACCAATCTGGTACCCCAGATTCAACAAATCATCTGCCAGTTGATCTAAATCTCCCACCCGCACCTGGCAGCCTGATCGTCCAAGGTCTCAATCACGGGTGGCAACAGCCCATCCAGGTGCTTCTCTCGTCGCTCAGACTCCGAGAAATTAGTGCCTATGAGAGGGGTAAGGATGGGGACAAACGGTATTAAGCGACGGTGTCCATGCCCTAGGGTCGCCGGAGGGCACCCGACGTGCGGTTTAACCCTGGGAACTTCCACCCAGCACCACAAACGTGACCTGGCCCGCCCGCTCCCAAGACCCCACCCTCGCACCCTTATTGAGCCAGGGAGTGTAGATGATGGGCATGCTGCCGAGCTCCTCTACGGCCTTGATCCCTTCTCCCCGGCTGCGCTCGTCGCCGGGCTTGGTGACATCCATGACCGAGCTGGAAGGCTTCATGGTCTCGAGATTGAGGGGCTGGGGAGGTCGAGGTGGGAGAAACTGATAAGATTTGGTAGTGTAATCGAGGAGTACATGCCTGAGCCGCGCTGCAGACTGCATTGTACCTCAGCTAGAATCGCTTGCACTCGTCTCCCCAGATCGGGGCGCGCCCGCCCGGGACGAGAAGAAAAAGCCTTAGCAGCTCCTGACCGCGTGAGAAAGAACCCATGGGGCACTTGAAGGATGATGTTGGATCTTCCGGTGCACAAAAGAGTGCTCGTGGAGGTCACCATTGGTGTGCAGGATCGAATCACGGCCGCTGTTCGCCGGTGTGAGGAGTGACCAGGGCTGACTGGGGCCCCGGTCGTACTGTATGGCTAACGGCGGGACGCTTCGATTGAGTTCAAAAAACAAGTAAAATATCAAACACGATATTTGTGAAGGTCGCAAGAACAAAACTTCCCCATCGAGCCTTCACACTCCTGCGGCTACCTAAAAATAGCACTGCTTGACTAAGAAACGTGCTGGCCGAGCTGGCCGGTGACCCGGACGACACAGGCGCGCAAACTTGCGGACCCCCGCAAGCCGATGTGCAATGCGTCAAAATTGATTCGATTCCCCTCTCCGCTTAAGAGAGTGATCCCTGCTGGGCTTAAAGGATTTTTCTCCTTCCCTACTGCCCCACAAACTTCACCCCAGACCAGCTCCCGAGAACCAAAGCCTGAAAACCTTTTGCCCATGAGATCTTGTGAAACACCCTGGCGGGAGCTCCCAGCGTTCTAGCGGCTCTACAATTTATTCTGACGATTCAAGAGCTTGATCATTTCGCTGAGACATTGTCAGCCTTGGTCCCGGGAAGCAGGGTTTTGAACAAACATAGCCACGAAGTCACTTCCCAGCATGGAGGGGGAAACAATGAAAATGCTCTGCTACATACAACACATCACAGCCGACACGACCAGTATTGAGTATCCGCACGACGAACTCTGGCACCTCCTACCAACTCCCCTCCGTGGCAAGCCTCGACTCTACCATCTCATAGCGAGCCGCATCCAGCTGGCTCTGGTAGGTTCCCAGCGAGCTGCAGCATGGAAATGCAGAGGGGCGGCCATCAGACTCGGCTGATGAGGAGGGAATTTACTGCTGTGACATCGACGTAGGACCTGTCCCGTGATGAAACAACCCGGCCGTTGATACATATCCCCTCGATAATGGCACCCTCAATCGATGGCGCATGTGACCGGCCCCTCACCTGCGTGTGCGGTGCAGCTCCCTCTCTATGCTCAGCACCCGGCTTCGCGTCAGCCCCAGCTCTCCCTTGGCCTCCTCGAGCCGGTGCTGCAACTCCTCGGCATCGTGCCGCCTTGCCTCCAGCTCCTGTACTTTGGCGGCCAGGTCAAGGGATGTTGTGCGGAGGACCGCGCGCGTGCAGCTCAGCTCGTCTGCCATGTCGCTCAGCTGGGAGGTGGTGGACGACAGCGCGGACCGAGTCCGGATGAGCTCTTCTGTGAGAAGGTGAAGGGGAATAGGAAGCCGCTTGATGAGGCTGCCAAGAGGCGTGTATTCTTAGCATGTGCGAGCAATATTTGGGGTAAAAGCACACTGGGACAGCGGCACCGAGGGAGGACCAAGTACCATGCAGCCCCCCAGCCTCGTGATTTACCTTGCCGAAGAGAGATTTGTGCTAGGACCTCTTGTCGCGTGAACAGGCGGTGCACCAATGCGCCTCCTAGGGCAGCTGCACCAGCCAAGAGGATTAACCCCAGATCACCTCCCCTACCACCTACAGGGGTGTCCAGCTGCTAATTTTAGGCGAAACAGGCATTAATCTAACATTTTCAGGCAAGGGAGCCTTGTCGGTACCTTTCTCGTCGGCACAGCTGCGCCTTGGGGACCTCCCGACCTTGGACCTCTGCATCGGTGCCGAGCGGAACTGGTGCTCCAGCAAGAAGATGTGTACCGCGAGATTATTATGCCTGTACAAATTCACCTTTCATCGGGTCAGCACGTCGCTGTGCTCGTCGTTCAGAGCCTGTCGTAATCCGAGCTGTTTTGGGAGTTTGTGATGCTGGAAAGCGCGGCTGTTGCGAAAACCCTCCTCGGCGTGCCTCTGTCCGCGCGTATTTTGTTCGAGCGGAATCTGGACGGGCCCATGCAAGAGTGAGGCTGCGGTGGACTAGAGGAGCCTGGCCCCGATCTTGTTATCTCGTGAGGTTAGACCACCGAAACCCTTGGAGGCACTCGCGAGAAGCTCTGCTCGCTGCCCGGGGGGACAATGTTCACCATGGTAAGACACCGCGTGCTTTGCCCGCAGCTGGAGACATGATGCCGCAGCTTTCTGATCTCCCCAGAGATCTTTCGAGCCGCCTAATTCGTCGCACATGCCCTCCTGTCCCTCCTGTCCCAACCCCCCGCTCCCACCCCCCTCCAGGCACCTTCCCGGCAGAACAAGAAGGCGCTCAGGATGGCGAAGGAGCGCATGTACGCCATCATCGACCACGCCACCGCCGAGAACCTCTCTGCCCCCAACTTTGCCCTGTACACCGACATCGCCTCCGCCATATCTGGGGGCACAGAGCCGCAGTGAGTGACACACCTCTGCGCATGTTGGGTTTGTGCCCTTGCCAGGGGGGCATGATGAGGATGGCGACCCGCATTTGCCGTGCATGGCGCTGGATTTCACACCGTAAATCGGACTGGGCCTCAGGATGTGCCCATGCTTGAGGAAACTATGTCTTCCTGGGGTGCGGCAGGCCCTGATCACCCCGCAGTGCAGCGCCCGCCCCAGCCCTTGCTGAGTGCTTCTGCTTCAGTTGACCTCTCCTTGACTCCCACCCCCCCCCCCCCCAAAAAAAAACCAAACTATCCTTGCAGGTACATGGCCAACAAGGCCTGCAAGCAGCTCAAAAAGAGGTTGCAGTGCAAGAGGGGCCATGTGCAGACCCTCGCCCTGCAGGTAGGTGCAGCGCTGCCGTCTATAGTCGCATGTCTGGTGTAGCCCCTGGCAGCCAATCATCTTGCAGGTACCCAGCCTGGCCAAGCTTGGCCCCTGGGCACGGCCCATCCTCACCTCCCCCTCCCCACCCACCCGTAGCTGCTGGAGCATTGTGTGCGCACCTGCGGCGAGCCCTTCCACAAGGAGCTGGCCGTGAGCGAACTGCTGCCGGAGCTGGTCCGCCTCTCCGACCGCTCGGCCTGGTGCCCGCCCGAGGTCCAGCAGCACGTGTTGGCACTGCTGCAGGAGTGGGCCTACACGCTGCGCCCCTCCCAGTTCGTGAACAGCTACAACAAGCTCAAGGTGGGGGGGGTGGAGCGCATGCCTCTTTGTTCTTGTGTTTGTGAGGAAGGGGAGAAACCGGGTGTCGGTGGGATTGGAAGATGTTGACCCAGACCTGCCGCATGTCTTGCTTCCACCACAGCCCAGCAGCGGTGCACCTTGGAGCACCAAACTTGTTGCATGCCATTGTTTTCCAACCCCTCCACCCCCTCCAATGATCGAACGACAGTCGCGGGGCATGACCTTCCCGCCCCGCTCCGGCGAGCACGCGCCCAGCGGCAACTTCCAGCCCTACCCCGGCCTGTCCCCCGGCCCGCCGCCCGACACGGCACCCCCCGGGTCGGGGCGCACCAACCCCGCCGCCGACCTGTTTGGCGCAGGGGATGGCGGGCACCCAGGCTCGCCGCTGGGCACGCCCGGGCGTGGCCTGGCGCTGCTCTCCCCCGACCAGCCCCCCGCCAAGATCCAGGCCGACCTGGAGGTGGCGCGCAACACGGTGGCCCTGCTGGGCGAGGTGCGTGGGGGGGGTGGCAGGAGGGGGATGACCCCGCCGGGGTCAAGGAGGACTACATCACCGACATGGCCGACCAGGCGCGCGCGATGCAGGCGCGCCTGGCCGCGCTGGCCGAGCGCGTGACCGATGAGGCCCTGCTCTCCTCCGCGCTGGAGCTGAACGACGAGGCGCAGCGCGCGCTGGACCGCCACCGCGCGCTGGTGGACGTGGCGGAGGGGCGGTCGCCGCCGCCGCCGCGCCGCGCGGTGGCCGCGGCGGCGGCGGCGGTCGGGGGGGCAAGGAGGCCGCCGCCGCACGACGGGCACTTTGGCGCGGGGGAGGGCGCCTCGGCGGCGCCGCAGCCGACGGCAGCCCAGCCGCCGGCGCCGCCGCCCGCGCGCCCGGACATCATGGCAGACCTGCTCTCTCTGGACGACTGGACCCCGGACGCTCCCGCGCCCTCCGCGCCGCTGACCTGGCAGCCGCCCGCGGCCCCGGCGCCGGCGGCGCCCGCAGCCCAGGCCGCGCCCACGACCCCTCCCAGCAACAACCCGTTTGCCGACGCGGCGGCGTGGAGCGAGGCCGCGGCGCCCCGGTCCGCGGCGGCGCCGCCCCAGGCCGAGGCCCCGGCGCCCGCCTTTGCCAGCGGCAGTGGCCTCGCCCACCCGCCCGACGCCGGCCCCGCCAGCAACCCCTTCTTCAGCGACAGCGCGTGGGGGCCGCCGGCCGCACCCCCCGCCGCGCCCCCCTCCGCCCAAATGCCTCCCACGCCGCAGCAGGCCGCCAGCAACCCCTTTGGCGGCGGCGGCGGCAGCGGCGTGCAGGCGCCGGCGCCCAGCAACCCCTTTGCCTCGGCGAACGACGCCGGCACGAGCAACGGCAACGGCCCCTCCATGCACGCGCCCGCCCCTGCGGGCGGCACAGACGCGTTTGGCGAGTCCTGGGGCGTGCCCGCGCCCGCACCCCCGGCGGCGCTGTACCCCGCCCTGTACTCGCCGCCCGGGGGCGACCAGGCCCCGGCCAGCTCGGCTGGGGTGTCCGACGCCTTCAGGGACCTCCTGAGCCTGCAGAAGAAGGCGGAGGAGGCGCCGCCCCCACCCAAGTGAGCGGGGAGCGTGCAGTGGCAGCGGGGGCCGGGGCCGGTGGGGGATCGGCATGGACGGGGTGAGGACGACGCGAGCTGGCTTACCTTTCTTCTGCACCACCTCCTCCGCTCCACCGGACGGGAGTGCGGCGCAGTAGTCCAACCTCTCAACACACACACACCCACACCCAACAAAAAAACATGCCTCCCCTCCCAAGCAGGGGTTCGCCGATGCGCAGGAACCAGAACGTGCACGCGGCGACCTCCCCCACCTCCAACGGCGCAGATGCCTTCAGTGCCTTTGACTCCGTGCCGCAGATGGGGCAGGCTCCGCCCAAGATCTGACGTTCGCTCCTCCTTGGAATCGCATGGAGCCTGTCCCCTACTCCGGACACCGCCCGCTTGCCCAGGCCTTCCTTCCCTTGATGCTACACGTGAGGTTGACTGACGATGTTTGATCGGCTGTGGTGCGCTGTGCAGCAGCTCTGGATCGGGGAGCAGGGAATGACATGGGGATGCGGGGGGGGGTCGGGGGGGAATCCGCCACACGCTTTCGAGAAAGGTACACAGAGACGCACTAAGAGCTCGCCTCTCCTCAGACTCTGGCGAGGCAGGCAAGGTACTATGTATGAAGGATCATGCTGATCTCGAATCTCATCTTGGTTGACATGACCAGGAATAGCTCTCAAGCTGCAGCGCAGAAGAAGATGGGCAACCCCCTCGACACACTGTCCATTCAGAGCCGGCTGCCGAGCGTCGTGGCATGGCTTGCCAGGAACTCGGTGATGTGCCGGTTGACCAGGTCGGGTCTGGCAAGGGGTTGAAGATGATGTGAGGAGGGGTCCAGAAAAACATTGAAGAATTGAACACACCCAAAGATGTTCTGAAGGCAGATGCTTTTCTGTGAGCAATGCAGCCTGCCTTGCGGGGGAAGTGGCCTCCACCCTTGGCACAGTCAAAACCACCCATCCAACCGATACTCTACCCCCCAACAGCCGCGCTCCCTTCCACCCAGTCGGTAACACACCTGTCCTGCTGAGCCCAGTGACTGCAGTCGGACAGGCCGATAGTGGTCAGGTCCTCTACATGCGCCTCGGTGTCTTCAAAGACCTTGGGTGTGAATGCGCCGTCGTCCTCCGCCCACATCAGCAGGGTGGGAACCTTCAGCTTGCCCTTCTTGGGCCTGCAGTGAGGATGAGCGGGGGGTGCGTCCTCCTCCGGCCCCATAGGAGAGCCTGCGCAAAGGAGCATGAGTCACAGCTCCCCCCGTGCCTTACTTGGGGTATCTAGGGTCGTAGCGGTACAACGCCCTGTAGTAGTTGATCATGGAGGTGAGGGCTCCTGGGCGGCTGGCTGCCACCTTGTAGCGCGCGATCTCCTGTTTGGGGATGGGGTGTGGGGTGTGCAGGGTGAGGGCCTGCCGGCCAGAGCCTGAGGCGGGGTCAAGGGCCGACCTCCATATCTCATACTGGTATCCCTGCATACCTCTGGGCTGATGCGATCGCGGTTTCTCAACCCCATCTTCCTGGAGGTGAACATCTTTTGGATGAAGACGAAATTGTCGTCGGACAGGACGGCCTCGGGGATCCAGGGAACCTGGTTGTTAGGGAAGATGGCAGGGTTTCAAGGGGAGGGACTTGGAGTGACGCATGAACAGGGCATGAATCCCCATCAGGCGCGTGCAAGCAAGCAGAGAGGGCGTGCATGCCATTGTTCAAACGCAGCAAACAGTCAACATGCCCCACATCCCCTGCTCCTGACCGCCTCACTCCCAACCCAATCACACACCTGGAAGAAGAAGATGTACCAGGACTTGAGCATTTGCGCCGTGGTCATCTTCTCGAGGAAGTTGGACGGGTGTGGCGCACACAGGACGACGAGGTGACTCAGCAGCTCGGGGTGAGCCCTGGCCAACACCCAGGCGACTGGAAAGGGGGAGCGTGGAGGGAAGTGGGTGAATGGGCTGGGATGTGGTGGCAGATGCTTTGAGCAAGCAGTGAGCGTATCCCACCGTCACGCCAGGCCCCACCTCCCCTCCCAGAAGTTGGGAGGCACCTCGACAAGCCTTGCATGCTGCCATGCAAGCGACACGTGAAAAAATCAACACTTCCGGCAGAGCACAATCTGTCCGCCCGCAGTCGACTCACTCACGCCGCCCCAATCATGGGCAACCAGGGTCACTTGACGGTCGGGGCTGACACTCTTGATGATGGTGACGACATCAGACACCAGCAGCCTCATGAGATACGAGTCGATGCCCTGCAGGGGCCAGGCAGGGCAGCACCTTTTAGCAGGTGGTGTGCAGAGAAGCAGTCAGCCCTGCCTTGACAAGTACTCCCCATTCAACAGCCAAGGGCTGAGCATTGTGTTTTCATCTTCTTGGACGATGCAAAGATCCAAGCATCAACCAAAGAGATAGAGAGCTATGGCTGGCTGGAAGCCCAATGCTTGCCCTCGCCTCCCAGCCCCTCGTGCGCACCAGGGGCTTGTCGCTCTCATTGTATCCCCGCATGTCAAAAGCCACCACATCATACTCCTGCTTGAAGTGCTCGAGCTGGTGCCTCCACGAGAACCAGGCCTCTGGGAAGCCGTGGATGAAGACCATGACGGGCTTGGGAGGAGTGGAGGTGGATGGACCTGCACGAACCGTGTGCAGCCGGATGCCGTTTGCCACCAGCCAGCTGTGATGCAGGCCGGGGACGAAATCCCTGGCGGAGGCATCTGACGCTTGGATCGCAAGTGGCGGACGTCGTTCTCCCTTGATGATCCTGAGTGTCGCACAAGGGGTCAGTGGAAGGTGGTTCAGGTGTGAGTTTACACCATCAATCGACGAGGTATCAAGGTGTGGCTTCACAAGGGCACATACGCACGCCAGGGTGCCACCAGCGCGAGGTGGCACACACCTTTTAACCTTGGAAATGGCAAGGGCACCAGATATAGGTACAGCCAATAGGTAACCCGTGAAATAAAATGCTGCCTGCCGCAGGTATGCTTGCAGTGCTACGCCCGACATCCGGTGAGTGTGTGTGTCCTTGACGCCGGAAGAGCTAATAAACCCCAAACGTTCTCCCTGCAAAAGTACGAGTACTCAATATTTGACTTTTGAAAAGTATGGTGCCGGGGGCAATGTCTTCAGTCTTGAGGGTATCGCAGATTTTGCAATCCCCGATCTTCGTTCACATCTTTTCTTGAACCAAGCGCCCACCCCAAAACAATGTCATACCTTATGTAATGGCATGGCATCAGGGTTTTTCCATATCGGCTTGTTGTTGCTGATGCAGCCATCAGGCAGTGTCCTGGGCGGTGCAGACTCGACTGAGTTACGCACTAGGAGTCCCAGATCGGCCAACCCGGGACAATACTAATCACTCAGTCATGTGCCACTCAAGCCAAACATTATGTTTCAGCAATATGTGCAAATGCGAAAAATTGTCTGATGGGGATCCGAGAGGCCCCCGTCCGGCGGGGGCCATTTTCGCCCCTTCGGGAGACCCCGTCTTGGCCAGTAGGGATACGAACGCATCGCAAGAGGCATTTTTCAATTTGTTAATATCATATGACGTAAGAGTATCGAGTACAGAGCGATAAAACGCCGTCACCACACATCGGTCGTGCCCGGGTGGCTCCTGGTGGCCCAGGGGCCTCCCCCATCCTTAGCTCTTGAAGGGGCCAGATACCCCCCTTCCTATACACTGCCTGTCTGGAAGCTGATCTAGTCGTTTACTAATATGGGATCCACACCAGGTGCAAGGCCATCTCGGCCGTCATTTGCCTGCTGAAGCAGTCTGCCGCCTCTCGCCACCCCCCCTCTCAAGGTGGGAGCGGAGACTAGCGTGCGTTGCCATGTGCGGGAGCTATCGCTGACGGTGGAGACCAGAGGGCGATACCTGCCATTCGGCGGCAGTGACTTGGTGGATTGCCCAGCATACTGCAGGGTATTGTTTGGCGAGGAGGCCGGTGGTGGTCCGTGGTATGATTCTGGCAAAGGGAGATGGGCGGTGTGTCATGCGGGCGTGATTATCCGCTATGCAGGACTCCTTTATAAGCTTCACATTGCACAGATGCGTCTATCCCTCAGCAGCAGACTTAACACCTTCCCTTTCCCTGCGATGCTGGAAATGTCCCGCCACTTCCTAGCTCCACCTGTGGGGTGAATAGTGCATATCTATGATCGACAGATGGCTGACGGCCATGAAGCATAGATGCAGCCGGTCCCATTGCCGGCAGTTCACTAGGAACTGCTGTGCAGTATGGGTTAAGACTCCGGTGGAGGGAACGAAGTGGATTATGGCAGCACGTGCCACCCCTCCGTGAGGCAACACGTTGCTCCCACCCCCCCACAAACGTCGTAGGGTATCCTTCCATATTATGTGATATATTTTTCTATATTTTTGAACGGTGCGGCATTCTCACTTGATTGCTCTCTGTCCGTCCCCCACCGCAACCAACCTTGCGAACGGTTGAATGAGAGGGAGCTTCGTCATGCGAGCCTGGAGGCTCACCGGGGCCTCGAACTGGCGCTTCGGGCCTCGTCGTTCCCACAAGCAGGGTGGTGACGCCAAGCGCGGCTCCCACTCCGCACGCGCTGGCGCGTCAGCGTCCCTGCCCTTCGACCCCAAGTGGCTTCTGCTCCCCCCCGCCGCTGCCGCCCTGCTGGGCGGAGTGGCCTACGCCCACAACACCCAGTTCAGTCTGTCCCCCAGCGTCGCCACGGCCCTGCAGCAGTACTCGGGCCAACACACACCCGCCCACGACTGGGAGGAGGTCATCGCCAGCGAGCCGGGCACCCTGCGGGTGCTGACCGCGGAGGCGCTGCTGGCCCAGGACCACCCCTTCCTGGAGGATGACCACATGTTCTCGGCCTTCGTCAGCAAGGGCATCGTGGAGGACCTGACGGGTTACTACAACCCCGAGCAGCGGCGCTGGCACAGCGTGGTCGCTCTGGGGCGCGAAGTTTGTGGCTTCCCCCGCGTCGTGCACGGCGGGCTGACCGCCGCCATGTTTGACGAGTCCTTTGGCGGCCTCCTCTTCAGCCTCAAGCAGGCCAAGGCCCTGGACTTCTGGGGTGAGTGGGCCGGGGGGTGGGGAATGGGCAAGGGCCGGGAGGGGCCGGGGTGGAGGGGAGGGGCCATGACATGGGCCCGAACTCCTTGTACCAAATATGTATGTATGTACACAGGCCCGCTCTGGTGAGAGAAGAGATCGAAGGTCCTGCGAGGAAGAGACATCGCATCCCATGTCTGGCGCCTGACACCCACCTCCCTCCCCCCTCCCCCACCTCGTCGCTCAGGCCCCGCATACACAGTGGCGCTGGAGGTCCAGTACAAGGCCAAGATCCCGGCCGGGCAGCGCCTGCTGTGCACCGCAGAGGTGGAGAGCGCGGAGGGCAGGAAGGTGTGGATGAAGGCCACGATGACAGACGGGCCGGGGGGCAAGGTGTTTGCCACCTCCCGCGCCCTGTTTGTGGCGCCCAAGCTGCAGAAAGTGGTCCCCATGGTCACCTCCTACCTCTGGCACCGCGTGTTTGGGAGCAAGAAGGCGGCCCCTGCCAACCTGGAGTAGAGGGGCCTACTGGGGAGGCCCCGCGCTGAGCCAGGGTCTCTTCTCCCCACAGAGGAGAATGAAATGTTCGTGGAGCACCAGGCTCCGCCACTATGCTACTGTTTATGCATGCTGCCGTCCTCCCGCTGCCTCTCTTTCCACGCGCCCATCCGATGGAGGGCAGGGGGGGGAGGCGGACGGTGAGCGCACCTCCTGAGCCATGCCGTCTCAGTCCTTCCATACCTCCTTCATTCAACCAGGCATTGCATATTGGGGCACTCCTTCCTGCCCTGCATGCGGACCCTGTCACCGCCCATGAACCCTCCATCTTGCTCCTGCGAGGCCTTGGTTCTCACACACACCCAATGCCCCCGTGACTGCACATTCTTCCTTAGCCTCAAGATATTCTTTTGCGCCCCTTCTGACCATCGGAAACCCTTAGACTGGACTTGCATGTCCCCCTTGCTCTCTGTGATATGCACATAAATCTTGGATTCGAAGCAAGCTCACGTACAGGGCTGTGAGTTCGCAAAGTCCAAGATGGCACTCACAGCCTCATTCTGCAACACTCATTCTTACATCACATATTTATTTCCGGAAGAATTATGGAGTAGCCGCGAGGTACCGGAGTCGTCAAGACCATTACCAGCGCGATGGCGCCGGTGGTCACCCACGAGTTCGTGGCCACAGTGGCCGACAGCATCGCCTGCCGTGCCCACCCCGACGCCTGCCGCGCCCTGGCTCCCGATGTCGAGTACAGGATGCGAGAGGTGGTGCAGGACGCACTCAAGTTTGCCCGGCACTCCCGGCGCACCTACCTCACCACCCAGGACGTGAATGCCGCCCTCAAGATGCGCAACGCGGAGGTGAGGATGGGGGGGGAGGGGAGGGCAGCAGGAGACCGGGTGGCTCATTTGAGGCCTGAAATCTTGCTGACCTCGTGAGAGACAGGCACAGCTTGCAAGACTTACAGGCGCTGCCTTGTTGACGCGGATGCTGTCCTTCCTTTTTTGGTGGGCCGTGATCTAAGGATGCATACCTCGACACGGTTCCCTGCCCCCCCTTCTCCTCCCTCTACCATGCTCGACTCTGACCTGCTGACCAATCCAGAGTCCCCTTTCCCCCCTTCCCCTTTCTCACTCGCAGCCCCTGTATGGCTTCAGCGGGCGGGACCCCGCCAAGTTCCTCCGCGCGGCAGGGCACCCCGACGTGTACTACGTGGATGACCCCGACGTGTCGGTGGCCTCCATGCTCGCCACCCCCCTGCCCCGGCCCCCCGTGGAGGTGGCGGTGGTGCCGCACTGGCTGGCCATCGACGGGCGTCAGCCGGCCACGCCCGAGAACGCACCGCCCGCGGTGCCCGCACGCCGCGCCGCGCCTGCCAAGGCCGCGCCAGCTGCGGCGCAGGTTGGCGCCCCGCCAGCCGCCGCCCCCAACAAGGCCCTGCCGGCGGCCAGTTCTGGCGGCGAGGGGGCGACGCCCGCCGTTGCCGGGCCCCAGCCCGCCGGCGAGGAGGCGCTGGTGCGGGCGCCGCTGCGCCACGTGCTCACGCGAGAGCTGCAGGCTTACCTGGACCGCGTCGGCGCCTGGCTGCGCCACGGCTTGCTGGAGGGCGGGGGCGCGCTGGTGGCGCCCTCCCCCGCCGCCGCCGACTCGGCGGTGCTGGCCAGCCTGGCGGGCGACGCGGGGCTGCAACCGCTACTGCCCTACCTGTGGCACCTGATCGGGGAGGAGGCTGGCGCGGACCTGCGCGAGCTGGCCCGCCTGCCACGCCTCATGGCGGCGGCGGGGGCGCTGCTGTCAAACCCGGCGCTGGACTCCGGGGCGCTGCTGCACGAGGCGCTGCCGCCACTGCTGACCGCGCTGGTGGCACGCCGCCTGGGCCCGAAAGGAGGCGAGGCGCACTGGGGTGTGCGCCGCGCCGCGGCGCACGCGCTGGCCACGCTGTGCGCGCGCTACGCTCCGGCCCACGCCTCGCTCCTACCACGCGTGCAGCGCACGCTGGCGCGCCCGCTGGCAGACCCCATCGCCGCGCCGCCCGAGGCGCTGCACGGCGCGGCGCTGGGCCTGGCCGCGCTGGGGCCGCGCAGCGTGCGCAGCGTGCTCACGCCGCTGGTGATTCCCGTGCTGCGCCGCGTGGGGGGCGAGGCGGAGGAAGGGCGCGTGCGGGCCGCGCTGGCGGCGGCTCTGGGTGGCGTGCTGGCGCACGAGGCGGCGCTGGGCGGGGCCGAGGCGCGCGCGGGGGTGGCGGCGGCGATCTCGGCGTATCGACAGCGCGGCGGCAGGGCGGGGCCGCCTCGGCTACCTGACAGCAACCCGCTGGCCGAAGCGTGGCGAGAAGATTTTGGGGCGGGGAAGCTGGCGGAGATCGTGCTGGACCTGTTTGGGCAAGATATCGAGCCCTTCCTGCCCCCGGTCGAGGGGCGGGTGGGTGACGAAGGCGAGGGGCAATGAGTGTGTTTGGGTGGGTGACCACCGCAAGCTGGACGTCACCGTGTGTGCCTCATGCGCCGGCCTGCCATCATGCTGCTGAGTATGCCCCTGCTCCCCCCGGCAAGGAGGCCAGGTGTCACCTTAGAATCATTCAGACCGAGGGTTGGGAGCATCCAGCATGAGAGACGTACACTGTGGACCGTAGACAATTGCAACGCATGTGATGGGGCCCTGGGTAGCAGGAAGGACCCCGCTGGCCGCCGGCACGGGAGGACAGTCCAGGTCGCGCCGACTCGGGCGGGTCGCCCGTGCGATCCGTAGGGTGTCAAGAGGGTGCCCCTCACGCGAGGGATTGGCAGCCCGAACGCGCGAGGCGTCGCATGGGCGTGAGAGCCCCGCCTGCAGCAGCCCACCGGGTCAATCCACGCGGGCCGCACCCCCCCCGGCCCCAATATCATGTGCAATTCCCCGCTCCTTTCAGCTGGCCACCTCGCCCAGCGCCACAAGTCCGGCGCCTGTCGATCGCGAAGGGATTCATACAAGCCGTGCTGGGAGCTTCGAGACGTACACTCCGAGGATGTGGGCCTGAGCAGTAGACAACGGACATCCCTGCACGATGGTGAGACCCGGCCCGACACACTCCCTGCCCCGACCTTAGCTCCTGGGAGGTGGTATGACATCAGCGCTTTCCTCGTTGCAGGACGACGCCCAGCTGGATGATATCATAGACCGGCTGCTGGATGTCAGAACAGGGAGGCCTGGCAAGCAGGTCACCCTCACGGAGCAGGCAAGTCCGCAGCCCCAGGGGTGGACCCGAGACGATCTGTTTTGGGAATTCACATGGTTTCGTGAGTAACGAGACCGTTCAGGCATGCATGTAGCGCTACACGTCGCCCGCACCTCGCCTTCCCGCAGGAAATCCGGCAGCTCTGCCTCACGGCCAAGGAGATTTTCATGACCCAGCCCAACCTACTGGAACTGGAGGCACCCATTAAGATTTGCGGTGAGGTCCTCCGCGCCCCCCGGCCGGTGCTGCCGGGATTGTCCCGCTGTTCCGTGACCCGGTGTGGGGGTGGCCTGCCAGTGGCTCCATGCCTACATCTTCGACACACCCCCTCCTCTCAGGCGACATTCACGGGCAGTACTCTGATCTCCTGCGGCTCTTTGAGTACGGAGGCTTCCCGCCAGAGGCCAACTACCTCTTCCTGGGCGACTACGTGGATCGAGGGAAGCAGAGCCTGGAGACCATCTGCCTCCTCCTCTCCTACAAGGTGGGCATGGGTTGGGGCAGTGAAGGAAGGGAGGGGGGGGAGGCGGGTGTGCACAGTGGCATGCCTGCATGCAATGGCCTGAAGTGCTTGGGTGGCGAGGTTTGCCTATGTGCAGCTTGTGGGGGGGTGGATCATGGTGTTGCACTTCCGGGCCCCTGGATTCCAGGTAGTTTCATCACTTCCTGGTCATGGGCCGGCCAGCATCCCTTTCCCATCCCTCGCCCACCCCATTAAATCACAGATCAAGTACCCCGAGAACTTCTTCTTGTTGCGGGGCAACCATGAGTGCGCGTCCATCAACCGCATCTATGGCTTCTACGACGAGTGCAAGCGGCGGTACAACATCCGGCTGTGGAAGACATTCACCGACTGCTTCAACTGCCTGCCCGTGGCGGCGCTGATCGACGAGAAGATCCTGTGCATGCACGGCGGCCTCTCCCCCGAGCTCAAGTCGCTGGAGCTGATCAAGCGCATCCCCCGCCCCACCGACGTCCCCGACACGGGCCTCCTCTGCGACCTGCTCTGGGCCGACCCAGACAAGGACGTGCAGGGGTGGGGCGAGAACGACCGCGGCGTCAGCTACACCTTTGGCCCGGGGACCATCACCGAGTTCCTGAACAAGCATGACCTGGACCTCATCTGCCGCGCGCACCAGGTGGTGGAGGACGGCTATGAGTTCTTCGCCAAGCGCCAGCTGGTGACCATCTTCTCTGCGCCCAACTACTGCGGCGAGTTCGACAACGCGGGGGCCATGATGTCGGTGGACGAGACGCTCATGTGCTCCTTCCAGATCCTGAAGCCGGCGGAGAAGAAGGCGCGCTACATTTACAACGCCATGGGGCAGCGCCCCGCCACGCCGCCGAGGCCCGGCGCGCCCCAGCCACAGCCGCCCCCCGGCGCCTGAGTGGCGGTTGGGGGAATGGGTGAAAGGGGGTGGCCCAGGACCCACCCTTCGGCTCCGGGGCCAATCCAACCCCCCAAACAACACCCCACCCCTGGACGCCGTCGCATTCCATGCAAAGGTACCCAATGCACCTGCAGCGCCCATTCCTCCCTTTCCATCCCTTGGGCTGCCCCTCGTTCAGGCGGGGCACGTCTGATCGCTGGCACTGGGCAGGCTGCGGGGATAACCGTGCAGCGGCCTCAGCCCCATCGCAGGCGCCTCGTCCCAGTCACCGACGCTGGGCCGGGGAGGGCTGGTGTGCTCGAATGCCCTGGCCACGACCCCACTGTCCCAGCCCATCTGCTTTTCCCTGCTCCAACCCGGACCCCCCCCCCTTGTCCAAAGTGCTGTGAAACGACTGTGTGGCAAGGACAGGCATCGGGTGTAGGGCAATCTGTGCAGGGCAGGCCCGGTTGCCAAAGGCTCGTGATGGGGATGCCGCTGCTTCGTTGGGCTCTCCCACTCTGTGACGCCCCAGGCTTCAGCATGCAGTGCGTGCCGTGCCAGTCCTGCCCTGCGCCACCACCCGCCTACATGCCGGGGATGAGCTTGGCGCGCTCCGCCTCGTAGGCCTCGTCCTCCTTCTTCCGCCAATCCATGTACTCGGCGTGGGGCTTGGGGTGGTGCGCCCAGCACTCCTTCTGGAAAAAGTCTTTGACCTTGGGCACATGGTCCTGCACCAGCACCTGGCCCTGCTCCGTGGAGGCGCCGTTCTGCTCCAGGAAGTCCTGGACCTCCTGGTGGCCCATGTTGCGGGCCCAGTGCCAGGGCCGGTCCCCAGCGTTGTTGCTGGCATCGATCTTGGCGCCCAGGCTGAGCAGGAGCTCGCAGCCCTCCGTCCAGCCCTCATAGGCCGCGGAGTGGAGGGGGGTGTTTCCGGCCGCCTCCACCTCGTTCACATCCGCGCCGGCGTCCACCGCGCGAATGATGGCTGGAGTAGGGGGAGGGAGGGGTCCTGGTTGGTCAGTGGCCCCGGCGCCCCATTCGAATGACGAGGGATCCACGGAGCCAGACCCCAATGCCTGCCTTCAAGCACGTCCCTCACCATCTTTATCGCGGCTGTGTGCAGCCCTGTGCACCGTCATGCTGCCCACCAAGCCCCGCCCGCGGGTGCACCCCCCGCCATCTGCCTTGATGCCGGTGGGACCTTGCCACTGCAGGAAGGGCCCCTGCACATTCTTGTACCACGGATTCTTCTCCATCGTGCAATGCCCTGACCAGTTTCGGATCGGAGTTCTCGCGCCGTCTGCGATCGCGGGGATGGGGCCCTGTCCCTCCTATGAGTTGCGGGGGGCGGGGCCTCTCACGGGACAGCTTTGACCCATGCGCTTTGACCGAATGGCGGGAACACCAGCACGCAACCTCAACCCCCAGGGATGATCTGATTCCTCTAAAAGGGGGGCTCTTCAGATGCTTCAAGACCATGAATCGCTTTCGCATGACCCTCGCAAGAACACGAGGCAATGGCAGGAATTGCAGGTGTTGGCGAGAAGCATGGCGTGTGGCATGCATGGCCAGGAGCTGCCTCGAGGAAACCTGCAGCCTTGGTCATGAGCATGAAGAATCTTCCTGCAGCACGCGCGCCTGCTTCACCACCCCCCCACCTCCGCCCCCGTCTCGGCCGCCAGTTGTGTCAGCTCCCGCCTCAACGCCCTGGCAAACTCCAGCTGCAGTGGGAGGCCGGCGCGGTACATGACGGTGTGGCCCAGGGGCAGTGCCCTTGACCCTGGCAACGCCGCCAGGGCCAGCACACCGAGCAGGCTCTGGATGGCGTGCCGCGCCGCCTCGCTGTCGTCCACGGGGAAGCGGAGGAGGGAGTCGTCGTACCAGTCCTGGCCCTGAGCGACCAAAGCCACAAAGTCGGCGCCGCCGCGCAGCAGTCCCTCCTGCGTCAGCGCCTCCACCTCCTCGGGCGAGTCAAAGCAGCGCCGCGCGGGCGCCACCTCGTACCGAAAATGCTCGTCCTGGTCCGGGCTCCAGGTGTGCCACTGCCGCCCGATGGCCGGCGCCTGGCGTGGAGCGGTAGTGGTGGTGTAGTGGGAAAAGGGGTTGGATGGGGGAAGGGGATCCAGGGGTTGCAGGCTGGGAGTACAGTGGCTGTAGACACGGAGGGAGGTGCAGCGGTGTACTCTTTGCACCATACTGGTCAAACGCAAGCGACTTGCAGCGGGGAGAACGCCCATCGGCCCCCACCCCTTGACCCGGCCCCACCTCAAACTCCACCCCCGCGGTGAGCTTCATCACGTCGCCAGGGTAAAAGGTGATGAAGGCATCGCCGTCCCCCACGGTCAGCGGCTGCGGGGGCGACAGCCAGACGGCACGCGTGCTCTGTGGGCCGCAGGGGCGCACGCCGACGGAGCGCAGCTCCACCGCCCAGCCCATGGCCGAGCCGTCGATGACGGGCACCTCGCTCCCGCCCTCTATCTCGATGCGCGCATTATCGATGCCGCAGGCCTCCAGGGTGGAGAGCAGGGCCTCGGGGGAGAGGATGCTGCGTGGATGGCGGGGAGGTGGTGGGGACTCTCGTTCAGGGCATTTTGGGCTCGCCGGAGGAGGGGCAGGAGCCACGCATGCATCCGGGAGTCCAGCATTCATCCGCGCACCCCGCAGCCTGGCACCTCCCCACGCACAGACTGCTGCGACTGCATCGACTGATTCGTGTGCGACACTGTTCAGGCCCTCGTGGAGGGGCGGGGTCTGCTGGGCAGCAGTTCTGAAGGCGGCAATCTCCCGAGCCCCTGCAAAAAAAATCACGCACCTGACGTCCTCGCGCTGCAGTTTGGTGTGATGTGCGGATGCTGCAGAGGCCGAGGCTATGCAGGCAGGCACCCAGGCCTCGTGTGCACCCCTGGCTTGTACCTGGCGCGGTGGGTTGAGAGGGCATGAGGGGAAATGGTCTAGAATTGCCATGCCCATCGAGCAGCAGGCACTCCAGCAAATCATGCAGCACGACCTCACCTCCTCGTCTGGCAGGGTTGAGTCATCCAGCGCGTCCTCCTTGTTGAACAGCGCCTCAAAGTCCTTGCCATGCTCCTCTGAGAAGTCTGCATGGGGGCTGGATGGTGCCACCGTCAGTCCCTGCACAAATGCTGCAGCTCTGGATCTAAAGCCAGCACACGTGGGACGCAGGTGCACAGGCCAGGGACTTCAGAGCCCGCCTACCATCCAATGCTCAAGATAGCCACGCCTACCGTCCAGGTTGCCTTCGTACCCCGCCCCCCGTGCCGCCAGCCACTCGAAGAACACCTCTGACCGCTCGTCCTCGTATGGGTCGTCCTCCGGCGCGTCGATGTCCAGGTCCTCCAACGTGCGTGGCTCCGGCTCCTCCACCACAAAGCGGCCCGCATTTGTCCCCGGAGGCACGCGCACAAAGTATCGGCCCTCCCCGGCGAGGGCGGGGCGCACCCTGACGTAGGCATACTCGCCCGTGTGCAGACCGATGCCCCCCAGCGTCAGCGACCGGCGCAGCGTCTGCTGGTATGCTTGAGGCTGTGTGGGATGGGAGGGGCAGCGCTTGTTTCAGACGATGTGCAGGCACAGCCTAGCAGCACGAGGGGCCGCCAGGCAATCAATTTCTGCCCATCATCGCCACTCCGACTGCGTGAGCCTCCAGCCCTTACCAGGGGGAAAGCTTCGGGATCCGGCTGTGCCTTCTCCGGGTCCATGTCGGCATCGTCGTCGCCGCCCTCATCCCAGGAGCCTTCCTCCCCATCCTGCGCGCCACCCACCACCTCGGCCTCCACCGCTCGGGCAGCGGCTCTGACCTGGCCCATACAAAGGCGAAAGTGAATTCTCGTCTGCTTAGCAGGTCTACTTGGGATGATGGTTCGGAATGCGTACCGCCGAGCGTCTATACAGCCGGAGAGGCACGGTGCCTGGGATTGTGTTGCAGGAGGTGCAGCACCGGGAGCCATGCGAGCCACCCGATGGCCATGCATCGTGCCCTGCATATTTGAAAAGACGTCCAGTGTATGACTTAAACCAGCCAATCCATGCTTCACGCTCCTCTAAGCAGGGCGTCCCTCCGAGCAAAAGAGCGAGATGGGGGTTCTCTGCCCACGTCAGCACGACCCAATTTGCCAATGCCGGAGAAACTCGGTTGCACCATCTATACAAACAGCATGTCGCTGTAGGGGTGCGCACCATAAGTTATATCTTGCCTCGACACTGTTCCGACGCAGAGCAGGTCTCGAAAAGCCACTTCGCACATTCATTGGGAATACCCCCTCACGATATGTCGAAAGACCCGCAGACCCTCTACGCCGTGGAGGATGGCGTGGCCGTCATCACGCTCAGCTTCCCGCCCATGAATGCCCTGCATCCAAAGGGTAGGTTCGCAGGGCTGACAGCACGTGCAGACCCGAGCACGTCTCTCGACTCACGCCTGCGTCCACTTTTCGAGATCGTCGTCGCCCGTCCTCACCCGCAGTTCTTGGCAGCCTGTTCGACAACGTTCGACGTGCTCATGCTGACCCTTCAGCCAAAGCCATTGTTATCACGGGTGCCAACGGTGAGTATGGCTTTGGGTGCGGTCGGGCGCTCATAATTGTTGTGCTGGTGTCGGTGGAGCATTGACCGCTTGCATGGGTACTTGGCAGGGAATTGGAATCTACAAGCACCACAGCTGTAACGCACTCTTGCGGATGATCTCAAACCCCAATTGAGGTCTCCTCACGTACATGCAATCTACCCTAGAACCTTTGCCTCCTTCGCATCCCTCTTCCATGCCAGTGATTTGCCAGTTGTAGTGCCATGCGAGCCCGCGGCAAAACTTGTCCAATACCCGTCATAGAAACCATCGCAAACACCTACTCCTCCCTCCTTTCCCTCCCACTTTACACACACACACATACACCTCCCCCTCCCCCACTCTCAGGTCGTTTCTGCGCCGGCTTCGACATCAATCAGTTCCAGGACAAGTCACGCTCCGGGGGCGGCATCGATATGTCCATTAACACCGCGTTCGTGGAGCTGGTGGAGACGGGGCCCAAGCCGACGGTGGCGGCCATCGAGAAGCTGGCGCTGGGCGGCGGGTGCGAGCTGGCGCTGGCCTGCAACGCGCGCGTGGCCGCCCCCGGCACCATCATGGGCCTGCCCGAGCTGACCCTAGGCATCCTGCCCGGCTTCGGCGGCACCCAGCGCCTGCCGCGCGTGGTGGGGCTGGAGAAGGCGCTGTCCATGATCCTGACCTCCAAGCCCATCAAGGACCCGGAGGCTCTGTCTCTGGGCCTGCTGGACGCAGTGGTCCCGCCGCGTGAGCTGCTGGCGACGGCGCGGAAGCTGGCGCTGGACCTGGCCTCGGGCGCGCGCACGCGCCGCTTCGCGCTGCAGCGCACCGACCGCCTGCCCGCCTTCCGCGAGGCGCTGGCCACGCTGGAGTTCGCGCGCGCGCAGACGCGGCGCCGCGCGCCCAACCTGACGCACCCGCTCCTGGCGCTGGATGCGGTGCAGGCCGGCGTGGAGCGCGGCGGCGCGGCGGGCCTCCGCGCCGAGGCCGAGGCCTTTGCCGCCGCGGCGGCGCTGCCCACGCATGGCGCGCTGGTGCACGTCTTCTTCGCGCAGCGCTCCACCAAGCGCGTGCGCGGGGTGACGGACGTGGGCCTGGCGCCGCGCGGGCTGCGCCGCCTGGCGGTGCTGGGGGGCGGGCTGATGGGGTCGGGCATCGCCACCGCGAGCGCGCTGGCGGGCATCGAGGTCCTGCTCAAGGAGATCAACCAGGGGTTCCTGGACGCGGGCCTGGCGCGCATCCGCGCCAACCTGGCCTCCGGGGTCAAGCGCGGCAGCCTGAAGCAGGCGGCCGCCGACGCGGCGCTGGCGCGGGTGACGGGCACCCTGACCTACGACGAGTTTGGATCGGTGGACATGGTGATCGAGGCCGCCATCGAGCAGGTGGAGCTGAAGCAGAGGATCTTTGCGGACCTGGAGCGTGTCACGCGCCCTGCCTGCATCCTGGCCACCAACACCAGCACCATCGACATCAAGGTGGTGGGCGCCAAGACCCGAAGCCAGGTGGGTGGGGGCGGATGGACTCGGTTTCTGTGCTTCGTTCCGGAACACGGGGGAGGGAAAGGAGGGAGGAGTAGG